ACACACACACACACACACACACACACACACACACACACACACACACACATATATCCTCATAGAGAATGAGCAGATAATCAGCAATTTAACAGAGTCACTTAAACATTATCTCACTTAAATGATCATATTAGAAAAGTCTTAGTAGGATCTGTGAGTATTGTTATTTGTTTGTTGTTTGGCTTGAATTGTTCTCAAAAGGATAGATCTGTGCAAAGTACCTGGGTTTTATCCTTTTATTTTAAGAAGTGTGACTTGGGTGTTCAGAACCACCTATGGTACCAAAAGAGCCATATTACATTGGATGCTTTTCCTGGTTGATCCGTTTTCTCCAAGACAGGGACCTGCAACCTCTAGACATCCTAATGATTCTCTGACAGCAAGTTCCCTTGTGAAAGTAGGCCTCAAAGGGCTTTATAAGTGGTGAGATGGCCATATCACCTCCTCAGGCTGTGAAGTACAATATCCCTAAAGTTTACACTGTATCCCAAGTAAGGTCACTCCCCAGACGCCTCCAAAAACTTCAGTTCAATTAAGAATGAAGTATATATGGCCTGACTTTAATCCAATAATTAGAAAAAATATGTGACTACCCTGTGTTTAAAATATCGGAGGCAATTTATGAGCATGAATTCACCCAATCGTAATAAATAGGGATACATGGCATCATACTTATTTTACCAAAGAAAGGAAAGAACAGAAAAAGTGATTGAGAACCAGAAATGGGACTCAGCCCCTGGCTCTTGGATCCCCTGCTTGGGTAACAACACAATCAACTGAAGATCTCCATTAACAATAAATGCTGGTGAGGATGTGGGGGAAAAGACACACTCGTGCTGGTGGGACTGCAAATTGAGGCAATTGCTATGAAAAGCAGCACAGAAATTCCTCAGAAAACTTGGAATGGAACGGAACTACTTTTGACCCAGTTATCCCACTCCTTGGCATATCAGGAGTTAAAATCAGTGCACTACAGTGACATGGCCCACATCAATGTTTATAGCAGCTCAACTCATAATAGCTAAACTATGGAACCAACCTAGGTGCCCTTCAACAAAAGAATGGGTAAAGAAACTGTTGTATATATACACAATGGAATATTGATCATCCATAAAAAGAAAAAAGAAATTATGGCATTTGCCATTAAATGGATGGAACTGGAGACTATCATGCTAAGTGAAATAAGCCAATCCAAAAAACCAAAGGCCAAATCTTTTCTTGAATATGCAGATACTAATTCACAATAAGGGGTAGGAGTAGGGAAGAACAGAAATACTTTGGATTAGACAAAGAGGAATGAATGGAAGGGAGACTGAATGGGAATAGGAAAGATAGTAGAAAGAATCGGGCATTACTATCCTATGTGCAAATATGATTACGTGACCAATGTAATTCTACATCATGTTCAACCAGAAGAATGAGAACCTATGCTCCATATATGTAAAATGTGTCAAAATACATTCTACCATCATGTGTAACTAATAAGAACAAATCCAAATATATGTAAATGAAAAAGTCACTGAGGAAATATTGTTCTTCCCATATCCTACTGCTGAATAGTGTTCAGGCCTGGGACATTGCATTAGTAACAATAAATATTTGCACACAAAGAAGAGCAGCAAAAATGGCATGGATTTTAGAGTCTGGGAGATTTGAATTCAAATTCGAGCAGTGCGTTCTTGAATGAGTTACTCATGTAATTTGAACACCATTTTCTTCTTCAGTAAAACAGGGGCAAGAATAGCAACCCAGCAGAGTTGCTTTGAAAACTGTAGGTAATAATCTGCAAGCTTTCAGCGCATCTCCTGGTTCATAACGATGCTTGATAAAGGACACAGATGTGATGAGTCCGAAAAGCTGCTGCAGTTGCTGCTCCTAACCATGACCCTGACCTTCCTATCACAACACACATTCTCAGGTTGACCAAGAACTTGCCCCCTGCCCTCCACCAGCAATGCTAGTATTTAAAAACTTGACCTGCCAAGATTTCACAGCCTAGCAGGTCTATTTTTTTTTTTTCAGAGGACCCATTACTGGAGATTAAATTTGCTATATTCATTTGACCACAACTTTGAGTGGTCCAAACTGAACATTCCCAACCAAAAACAGGGTTTTCTTTCCCAGCAACTTAAGACACACACGTTTACCCCAGTAATTCATTTCTCATTTTGGTTTGGGACGGAGCCAGTTGGTAAAAGGTTTCAGCGTGTGTTTATTGCCTCTTTGTTCTCAAGCATTTTCTGGGGCTTCCTGGCAGCTCTTTGGTCTGCAGCAAGCAGCAAAAATGTCCAGGGTTGCAAAGCCCAGACAAATCCCAGGCTCAGGCCATTGCCTACGGCTGATGGAGAACAGCTGGAAGCCTTTCCCCTCCCACCCCAGACTCCTGCCCAGATCTCTGAGCAAACCCAGGGCAGGAGCAGAGAATTGGCCCCCGGTGCCTGTGCCGGCTCTGACTGGAGCTGTTTTGAAGTTACTGTGCTGCCTCTTCCAGGCACCACACAGGACTTCTTCATGCTTGAGAATTACATGGCCTCCAGCAGGGGACTAGGGGACTTTGGGGAATAGACTCGTGTGTGTGTGTGTGTGTGTGTGTGTGTATGTACCTGGCCTTCCAGTGTGACACTTTTGCTATGGACACTGCAGATCTCCATGTTCCAGGAAGCCCAGGGCACCTTTATAAATAAATTACCTGCACTTTTGATCCAACTCCATTTAGAAATCTTATGCTCTAAACCTGGAAGTGAAAAAAAAAAAAATAAAACTGTTCAGGCCATCCCTTCCCAACTCTCCCATCTCTCTCTCTCTCTCTCTCTCTCTCTCTCTCTCTCTCTCTCTCTCTCTCTCTCCTCCCGGTCATTAATGAACATGTGCTACGGCAGATGTATTAAAAGGCAACAGGACTCAAGATCAAGAGCTCACCTTTGGGGCACACGCCTGTCATCCCAGCAGCTCTGGAGGCGGAAGCAGGAGGATCCCAAGTTCAAAGCCAGACTCAGCAAAAGTGAGGTACTAAGCAATTCAGTGACACCCGTCTCTAAATAAAATATAAAATAGGGCTGGGGATGTGGCTCAGTGGTTGACTGCCCCTGAGTTCAATCCCTGGTACTCCCCCACCCACCTTTGGTGGGCTGTTCCTCGGATGTAAAGTGAGGATGTCAACACCTATTTGCTGTTGTGAAGACAGTCGGAGGTGGTGGGTGGAAAGGGCCTGGGGCATGTCAGCTGTCAATCCCTAGAAGCGATTCCGGCACACTCTGTTCTCCCCAGTACACGCAGGAGCTCAGGGTTTATTTCAGTGAGCAGCTCCCTCAAGAGAAAGTCATATGGTTTCTAGGGGAGATTTTAAGCCTTTAATATTTTCTCAACTTTGACAATGATGGGATTGATTGATCAAATAATTAATTAGGCGAACCTATTGAAGTGTCAAACATTGTAGAGGCACAAGTCCACGAAGACAAAAGGGCCTGGGCCACTGTCCTCACATGGAATTGGAGAGAGGGATGCTATTGGATGTTGGTGGTTCTCAGGATGGAAAACCATGTCAGGTCTTGACAGAGGTACCATGAGGTGGCCAAGGCCTTTGTGAAGTCTTCCTGGCAGGGTGACAGCTCAGAAGGATGAATGAGTGGGAGTCCTCAGAGGAGATGAGGGAGGGGATTCCAGATAGTGTGAATTGTGCAAAGGTACAAAAACAGCAAAGGAAAAGTCATAGTTCAAGAATGACAAAGAGTTCAATGCAGGTAGAACATTCTGGAAATTATGGGAAGGCAGGAGCATCCATTCTGCAACTATAACAGTGTGTCCCAGATCACTCAATGACACATCAATTAATGGTCAGCCTGGCTTCGTCACCCACCCTCCATGCCCTCCCACCCCAGCCACAGAGGCAGGAGGACAGCAAGGGGGACAACATTCAAGTCTTAAGTTGATTGAAATGGGTCTCTCAGCTCTTCTGCATCAAGTTTGGTTTCTTCACTGACATCATAGGATGGGATGGTGGGGGACCGTCCTTCCTCTTAAAGGAAGAATGTCATGCAGGTCTCAGTGTCACATCACCCACCAGTGGAAGTTCTTTGGGGGCATAATTTGAATAAAGGGACTGTTGTAGTCAGCTTTTTCACTGCTGTGACTAAAAGACCTAACCAGAAAAATTGCAGAGGAGGAAAAATTCATTTGGGTGTTCCTAGTTTCAGAGGTCTCAATCCATAGGCAGCTAACTCCCTTCCTCAGGGATCAAGGTGAGGAAGAACAACATGGCGGAAGAGTGTAGTGGAAGGAAGTGGCTCACGTGATGATCAGGAAGCAGAAATAAACTCCACTTGACTGATACCAAGTATGTACTGGAGAGGTACAAGGGCCGTGACCCACCTCCTCCAGCCACACCCTACCCGCCTTCAGTTACCACTCAGTGAATCCCATCAGGGGATTAATCCATTGATTGAGTTAAGGCTCTTGTAACCCAATCATTTGTCCTCTAAACCCTCCTGCATTGTCTCACACGCGGGTTTTTGGGGGACACCTAATATCTAAACGAGAACAGAGACCGTTCAACATCCTCTTCAAGAAAATCATACAAAGCAACTTTCTGGAAATTGAACCACGACTTTGCACGTGGTAAGGAACATCTGGAATGGATTTTTTCCAGTTTCCTCACGGCCTAGCTCAATTTCTTCTTATTGCCCTCTGCTCCCACCACACAGGACCGATGAGCTATCAAACCTGAACTATCACTTCCACCTCTGATTCCTCTGAGAAGGGATCTCACATTACAGCTCAGAGGGAAGAAACATTCAGATAAGTTAAAGTACTTACATTCATCCTCCCTGCTCCTTCCCCCACCTAAAAAAAAAGAAAGAAAAGAAAGAAAGAAAGAAAGAAAATTCAGCTGAAATCTCTCAGGGCCTTCAGTGAGAAGCTGATAGATCTACGAAGTAACTTGATTCATCAACAAGAGTGGGTTGACATATAAGTGACTTTTTTTTCCCCTCCCATTCTGGTCCCAGAGAGAGATTTTCTATTAGCAGTGAAATCACCTGAGTGCTCAATGCTATGGCTGCTCCTTCCAAAATCACAGCCAGACAGCCCGAGGCCACAGCCGAGCAGCGCTTCCTACACATGCTGCCTGAAAATCGCTCCTTAGAGAGTCTTCAGGACACAAGAGGAATCTGAATATTGAAAAATTCCACTTTTTTACAAAAGGAAACTGAGCCGTATGTTCCAGACCCAAAGAAGTTCCCCAGAGGAAAAGAGAAACACTCGTGTCCTTATTTGTTGTCCATGATCCCAGAGCGTCTCTCTCCATGGCAACCCCGGGAGTGTAGCCCTTGCTATCTGCAAAGAATCCTGGCAGGTGGGAAGGCAGAGTGGTAGAAACAGATAATACAGGTTACAGGCAAAGATTTAAATATGTGTTCTGTAAATTCAATCAAATCCCACTCACCCCATGGGAGGTTACTAGACATCCACACAGAACACTTTTTTTTTCTCACATTCAAATAATAATAAGAAAAAAAATCTCACATGAGAAAGTGAAAGATTCCGAAACAAAATGTTTTTTTAAACCTCATTAAGCAAAAGAGATGGTTCTACATCCCCATTCCCTAAACTTTCTCAAAAGTTCTCACATAGTTGAGTGGCTGCTTTCTGATTCAAGTTTGCTCCTTCCTGCTCTTATTGAACAGATTTATTAAATATCCACCCTGCTCTGGGAACCCAGCATCACCCAGACACTGGCACAGACGGTGTCTTTGAAACACTAAACTCAGCCTGCCCAGAGGCGGAAAACACAATTGAAAGAAATAACTGTAACTAAACTATTGTGAGGACAAGGCTGAGCTGGTTTTGTTTGCTTCCATTGAATTTCTCTGGCTTTGATGTCAGGGGACCTGGCCCTAGACTCCCTCCTTAGTGAAGTGCCCATACCTGAGCCTAGAGCTTGGTGGAAAGAAAACCAGGACCCTGAAACTGAGGTCTGGGTCCACCGGGGACACCAGGAACATCCTCCACAGGCTAAGGCAGGGTCCTCAAGTGAGACCAGTACAGCTGAAACACAGCATCAGCCAGTGACGACTACAAGTGCAAAGTCCCCTTAGGGGAAGGCATCCTGCAGACCACCAGGAAGTACCAAGAAATGGAGATGAAAGGTTTTTTTTTTTGGTACCAGGCATTGAACCCAAGTTTGCTTAACCCTACCACTAAGCCACATCCCCAGCCCTTTGCCCTTTAATGTTTTACTCTGTGATAGGGTCTCACTAAGTTACTTAGGGCCTCCTAAATTAGTGAGACTGGCTTTAAACTTGGGGTCCTCCTGCCTCAGCCTCCCGAATTGCTGGGATTATAAATGCGTGCCACTGTGCCTGTCTTGCCTAGTTTTTAAGACATAGGAAACCCCCAGCTGGTATCTGGGTGACAGTAGAAAACCATTTCTTACTTGAGAAAAGATTTTGTATTTCATCCAAGTGCTTTCAAACACCATGACCTCCTTTTCTCTTCCCCAAAGCCCTATATTGCTCCTAGGGAAAGATGATTACTGTTATCCCACTGGGAATCCGGAGAAACGAAGGCAGGACTACCAGGTGGAAAAGAATCCTAAGCCTTGTCCCCTGGCGGCTTGTGGAGTTTCTGGATTGCCTGCTCCAACATGCCAGACTGCGTGGCCTGTGTCCCGTCCTCCTGCTCCCCAAACGCTGGGCCTGATCCCCTCCGCCCTCACCTCCTCGCACTCCTGAGACCAGAGCTTCATGGTTCACTTTCCCTTGCAGATAATCGAGGGCAGATTGCCCTGCGCTGGCCTGTGTAAGGCAGCGGGAGATTCTGCATGCAGCTTCCAGAATCAAGTTCCATTTCTTGAGAGACAGAGTTTTGGCGGCCGCTGCCACCTCTTCCTGGGTTGATCATGCTTTTGATGTCCAATCATCTTACAGCCAGGGCAGAAGGCAAGCTTGGGTCTCACCAGCTCCAAAGCCCCTGTCCCTAACCACCATTCATTCCACGGCCTCCTTTCCATCACTTCTTTGGCCCACAAACTACAGGCAGCAGAAAGAAACCAAAATGCTAGAGAGTAATCCATAGAGGAAAATGAATTGTTCTGGGCACCCAAAGATAGATTTGAGCTCAAATTCTTACTCTATTAGCTGTGTAACCTTGGGGCAGTTATCAACCTCTCTGAGTCTCACTTTCCTAATTTATGATAACTAGCTGGGTAAACCTCTGAAGTGCCTTTCAGTGTTCAAATTCTATGGTTATGATTCTAGGATATGGGTATACTCCAGCTCTCCTGATAAACCACCAAAGCCCAGTTGGGACAAGCAAACCCAGGCCTTGGGAATTAGAAAGCTGGTGATCCAAACTTTGTGAATCCATCTTCATTTCCTGCTGCACACACTTTCCTGATGCATTGTGAACTCAAAAATGCCACATCCTTGGGAGGCTTAAGGAGACCTCCAGTCTCCAGCAGGAAGGCCTGTGGCCTCTAGAATCTATACTCCAAAGACAACAGTCAATCCTTCCCCCATAAGTTCTTAGGCTGCTCTGAGCCCAGGGGTGTTTCTTCTGTATTGGGATAACAATAAAATCCCCCTTATCCTAGTTGCATCCAATATTATTGTGGAATCATGTGAAAGAAGGTGCAAGGGAACCACTTTTTAAAAGGCAACTTCATCATTATCATTCAGCAACGCCCTGATGGGTGAAGGAGGCAACTGATTGTAAACCTGACCCATAAAAATCCACATGTCATTCCTTAGATACGATGCAGAGACTCATTCCAAGGCAGGCGCATATCACTCAGTGCTCTAACAACATTTTCTGGCCCACTTTTATGGGTGCTCATTTTTCCCTCAATGGGGAGCAAGTCCTTCTGTAATACACGATTTCATATGATTGATCAAACCCAAAGGCAACAAACAACACAAAAACAAAGGGCAAGGGATATGCAGAAGAATCCATCTCCCAAGAGTACGATTGTGAAACCTGCCCATTACCACCCCAACACCCCCCATCCTATTCCCTGGGCCCTGGTGTAACCCATTAAAATAAGTAAATAAAACTTTATGTCCTAAAAAGACCTTTCTAGCATTGTTTGTGATTCATCTATTTGTTTTCATAGAATACATATTAATGCAGGCATGGAGGTTCAGATCCATAGTTCCCCTAGGAAAGAAACATCACCATCCAAAAATCAAATGGAAATTACTTAAATTAAGGACAGCTACCAAAGCAGGGATTCAGTTTTCCATCCTGTTCCTTCCTCTCGCTGATTTTCTGGGATCTCGAACCAAAAGGTGCTTCTGCCCTGAATTCCCTTGGGCTCATGAAGTTTTGATGCTACTTCCTATGTCCATTGGCTGAGATCATTCAAACCTTGCATGGGCTATTTGGAAGCCATAGGAAAAGTGGCTATTTTTCTCCATCTTAAAAGCTACATTCCAAGGGAGACTATCAAAGTAACATTAGTGGTGGAATGTGATGATCTTTGTTATCCAAAGTTCAGGTATGAAGACACGAATTGGTGAGAATATACTTTGTATACAACCAGAGACATGAAAAATTGTGCTCTGTATGTGTAATAAGAATTGTAATACATTCTGCTGTTATATATCAATAAAAATAAATACATAAAAAAGTAACATGAACACTGATCTTTTCAAAATCTCAGTGGTCCCCACCTGGAAAACATTTTACTTTCCTCAAAGACTTTGTTGGGAGGGTAGTTCCTGGCATCAGGACAAAAAGGTACTACTAAGGGCAGCCCAACTCACAATGGTGGGGACGAACCCTTAGCACGGTAAGACCTGCATGGAGAGCTGAGCTACTGGCCCTTACTCTCTCTTGTGACCCAGTCCTCCTGGGCCACCTTCTCCATCAGCACACAGCCCTCCCCAGTTGAGCCAGCTGGTCACTCCCCAGGCCACCCAACAGTGACTCCCCAGGCTGCCTGTGTCCGGGGTCCCATTGCCTGACAGGAAGCTTTAGTCCTAGCTGGGTGTGAGCCCATTTTCAGGAGAGTAACGTTGTATGGAAGAAGAATCACCCAGGGACCGAGTGGTCCAGCTCTGGGCCAGCAACTAGATTCCACTTTAATTCTGCCTCTCACTATCTCTAGGATCTTGGACAAAATTCACTTTTCTCTTTTATTCCCTGAGCTGTTGAAGGACCTTGTGCTAATACCAGTCTCGCTGAGTCGTGAAGATGAAACAAGTTTAATTTGTAGGAAATAATGAATTAATTTCCTTACTATGTGACAGGTATCCTCTAAGCATTAATAAATGCCAGCTATTAAAAACTACCACTTAGGGCTGGGGCTGGGTAGCTCGGTGGCAGAGCACTTGCCTAGCAGGTACCTTAGCCCTGCAAATAAATAAATAAAATATGTATATTTTTTTAAAGTAGCATTTGTTGAGCACCCCTCTGGGCCAGGCAGTGTTAGGCACTTTGAAGTCATTCTTTCGTCCCCACAGTGACTTAATGAGATACAAACGACGACGTTGGGCATTTTTACTGAATGGGAAGGTTGAGTAACTTGCCCAGGGCCATCAAAGCCATCAAGAGGCACAACTGGGTTGGATTTGAACCCAGATCTGCCTGATGGGAACTCTGAGCGGGAGAAGCCCTCTGTGCTCAGGGAAGTGTAGTTGAAGACTTCAGTGGGGACCCGCCGTAAGCCCTCGGCAAGACCCATGTGTCATGGAGCAGGGGCCGGGACTGGAGCTCTGCTCTTTGTCACCAATGCCGAGGAAGGCGTGACAGACCCCACAGGTCCGTCAGCCCGCTGCCACTCCCAGTCCTCTCTCCCCGGTCACAGGACTCCATTTTTGATGAGGGGACAAGACATCCATCCCTAGAATGGAGGCCTTCCTCGCTGCCGGACATTCGCTGCCATGACACGAGGGTCTGCATCACTCCACCCGAATCACCAAGTGGATGCCATTAGGAGACGGGTCCCTGGAGCTGCGGAGACCACGAGGAATGGAAGGAATCAGTGCCCTTATAAAGGAGGCCCCAGTGTGGGGGCCTTGCCTCCTGTGAGGACACAGTGAGAGGGACCTTCTGTGAACCCAGAGTGGGCCCGCACCAAACACCATTTTTTTAAAAAAATCTTTTTATACCAGGAATAGAACCCAGGGGAGCTTAACCACTGAGCCGCATCCCCAGGCTTTTTAAAATGATTTATTTAGAGACAGGGTCTCCTTAAGTTGCTTAGGGCCTCACTAAGTTGTGGAGGCTGGCTTTGAACTCAGGATCCTCCTGCCTCAGACTTCCAAGCCTCTGGG